ACCAAAAAAACCCCCCCCCCCCCCCCCCCTCCAAAACAACGCTTGTTTCAAAGTACTAATCAATTGAAAATTATTTCAAAAAATGATTTCATGAAATATTTTAGGCAAGAACAGCATTCCCAAAATCTAATATTGAGAGTAAATTCAACTATATATATATATATATTGCATTGCCAAAGTTTTCTGAGATGTTCCGGAGACATAATAAATTCTAATTTGACCATCGTTACTGTCAAAGTCCTCAAAGCACACATCATCCCCATGCAACTCATCTATCCAATTTCTAACAAATACATGGCTTCTGTCCTTGGCCATTCTTTCCTGTTTTCCTCATTGCTGATGCTCTTCTTGATCCATTCTGCACAATTTGATGTGCAAACCAAAGAACTGCCGCGAAACTCAGGACTATAACCTTTGCATCAAAATTTTCAATAACCTTGTTGGCCTGACTCATCTGACTATTCCCCTAGCTCTGAAAAGTGCTACCGAGACCTGTGTTTATACTCACACTCCTTAATAAAGCTACTACTCCAGAGGTTAGAAAGGTTCTTGGTGAATGTGTACAGGATAATCAGCTAGTTGTGGAGGGTTTTCAGCAAGCATCTATGGAATCAGCAACACCAGCAGCAATATCTGCCTTTGAAAGGGGTATGCCTCCTGCTTTCCCAGTGAACCCATATTTCTTTTTAATTGAAAGGATTAAGCAGTTGGACATTCTCATTTCCGTGTCTGATTTTGCTGGGGTAACGTCTGTGTCAGAACAGGCACCTGCTGAAATCCTGACTACCTCGTTGAAATTGCAACAGTGTTAAGGCAATAATAACTTTTTTGGAGGATGGGATGGATCAGTATCTTTTTTTCTCCGCTGTTTACATCTTTTTTTCTCGATTCATTAATCAACACCACCTTAATTCGTGGCTCTACAGATTTATATAGAAATCATTCATGTCAAGTTGTCAAACTCCACATCTCATCTGCTATAATGCTGTAGTCCTTTACATGCAGTCTCTCCTACAATCATTTTCACCTAAGATGAACAAGAAAATGATTTCAGGCTTTCAACTCCTGCTCATTTCCTAGGACTTCTTTATCGGTGCAGACTGAACTAACCATCGAACCAACTCTTGAACACCGATAGCGCAACAGATCCAGAATTATAGAATTCCTTAATTAGTGAGTATATGACCATGAAGATGTGAGTATATGACTAAAGATTGTTGTGCAAGCATTTCTGAAGGTATCTACAGGAAATTACAAAGGACTGCTGAAAGCATGTGAATCGACAGCACTGAAGTATCTATCCGTTTTGCCGAAGCAGGGACCTTTGCCCCCTCGAGACCAATTGGATGAGTGTGAGATTGTCTTTGCACTTCGATTATTTTTATTTAATTAGATTATCATAATCCTTCTATTTATTATTCTTTGTTAAATTTATTTTTAATTAATTTTTATTAAAAAAATTAAATAGAATGATCTTTCTATTCTTTATTCTTTATTAAATTTATTTTTTATTTTATTCTTAAATTAAATAGAATTGACAACTACGTTGATTGCAAACTTAATTTTGTAACGAGATATCCATTGTAAAATAACAATGAATCTCCAACAAATCTTTTTTTTTCTTTTTCTTCCAAATATAATATCAATAGAAGTTTATTTTTCAATTAGTCTGATATTATTGTCTATAGTTTAAATAAAATTATTAAACTACCTGATCTAAAATTTTCTTGCTTTTTTAAAATAGCACCGTCGTCTAAGCTTCCTTCAGTACACAAAAATTTGACCGGCCCGCAGAACTACATTACTTGAGATTGCAATGAAGCAATGGCTGGTCATTGAAAGAAGCACAATTCTTCAAAAACCCCACTAGCATAAAACTTGAATCAAGATACATTATGTTAAAAACTGTGAATCATGAATTATTTTAAAACCTATAGGGATAATTTGTCAATTTCTATTACAGTAACAATATCTTACACAACCAAACATACATTCTCTTGACAATCAAAGGATTAAAAATCTGAACACCAAACAACCTAGCACGATTCCCAATTTGAAGTAGAGTGCTATCGAAAAAGCTGCAGAAATCGATCCATCTCTTAAGCCTGCCAAGATTCAGCAGACAATGTTACATCCAAGAAAACCCAAGGATTTTTTATCATTATGTCTTACAAAACACGAGTTAGGACCTTACCTTGCTAGCAATGTTGTTGGAGAGCCAGTCTAGTCCCTCATAGAGACCTTCACCAGAAGTGGCACAGGTGCTCTGGATATACCTGCAATAAACACACAGCTCAGATGACATCCATGGGATATTTACATGGCAGCAAACTATCGAGAAATTGGCAATGGACATGTTATCAATTACCAGTGGCGTTGACGGAGTGAATGAAGACCAAGCTTATCTGTAATTTCAGCAGCATTCATAGCATTTGGAAGATCTTGCTTGTTTGCAAACACAAGTAGCACAGCATCCCTCAATTCATCCTATTCAAACAATAAATTTCCATTATTAAAAAGCATAAAGCCACAATAGCAAAAGTAAGAAGTGAGAGTTAAAGCTTATGACTACCTCATTCAACATCCGGTGCAGCTCATCCCTAGCTTCAACCACACGGTCACGATCATTACTATCAACCACAAAGATGAGCCCTTGAGTGTTTTGGAAATAATGCCTCCACAATGGTCGGATCTGTGCAAATTAGAAAAGCAATTTGAGAAAAAGTAATCCTTGTACCAGACATGAGATATGAAAACAAGATATTGTATTCTGACAGCAGAACTTGAGTAGGTGACCCTGTTCATAAACTGGCAATTCTAAGTTCATGCTTCCAAAAACCAGAGCTAAAATTAAATCCTTATTTGATCAGCATAAAAGACAAGACAACAAACAGAGAAATAGCTTAGGATTTTCAAACCATGACAGAGAGACTGGTAACTCGATTATTCAACATCAAACAATTTCTTAAACATCTGTAAGGATGCTATTACGGTCCGTGCAAACACAAATAAATGCACAGGGAAACATTTAAGCACTATCATTAGTGATTGTGCAAAGTGATGACCAGATACTCACAGAAAGGCAAAGGAAAAATTGAGATAAGGTGGCTTTATTAATATAGCCTATGAATTCGTTCATGACAAGCATATTGATTTTTGTTGCTTATAAATGCATAAGAGTAATATATAAGTATACCCATTTATGATTGCAATTTATAATTTATGATAATGCACGCCACAGCTGGGATGTCCTTTCCTCACAAAGATAAAAGGAAAAAACTGAAAGACAAGGTGGCTTCAGTAGTGTAGCTTATGAATATGTTATGTGCTGGTGGAGGACCAACTAACCAGCACAAGACCGTCCATAAGCACAAGCATCAGTGAGAACTTCAACCACTCACAGCAACAAACAATGAAATCAAAGATGGCTCTAATCATTATAGGTTATGTTTTTGTTGCGTGCTAAAGAAAAGCATATAATCAGCACGAGACCATTCATAAGCACATATATAACCAAAGACAAACTTAGACAGCGACGGTGTCTGCATGTGCTTACAATTGTAGAATTTCAGCCATGCAATGGATAGCTTCCGCTCCTAAGAAAAAGAAAAAAAAATGTAACACTAAGTAGCTAAATCCATGTAGCTTATGTTTTTTTTTTTTTTATGTTCTGATGAAGCAATATCTAATCAGCACAAGACCTTCCATGGTACAATTTACAATCAAAGACACCAAGTACAAACATAAATGCACATCATGTTAGGCTAAGTCAATGATTAAAGTTGAAATATTAATCAATCAGCAACTCAAAAAGATAAAAATTAAATAGTTTTCCTAATGCCATTCGAAGTTCTCATCACAGTATAGCAGAAGTTTCCGTACCTTGTCCTGACCACCTACATCCCAGACAGTGAAGCTTATGTTCTTGTATTCCACAGTCTCCACGTTAAACCCTATAATGAAATCCACATATAAGCATCCCTTACCCAAACCAAACAAATTCAGCACTAAAACAACCCTGAAATACCAGTAATATTTCGAGGACATACCAATTGTTGGAATGGTGGTGACAATCTCTCCGAGCTTGAGCTTGTACAAGATGGTGGTCTTACCAGCAGCGTCGAGACCCACCATGAGAATCCGCATTTCTTTCTTGGCAAACAGACGGCTAAAAAGTTTGGTGAATGAGAGCCCCATCTTTCCTTGTTCTCAGCTGCATCAAAAACAAATCAGTAAATCAAAAACTCCAAATTCAGACTTAAAAAAAAAGATAAATCATCTCACAAATCATATAAAAATCAACAGATCCAAAAGATCCAAACTTTAACACATTAAAAACCCCATTCCTTTCAATTCCTTCACTTTCCTTCCATTATTTCATACTAAACCCAAGTTCTATAGATTCATGATCTCCCTTATGCTGATACCAACTAACAAAACAAGCACAAGGGTCGTCAAAAGATTCAACAAACATCCCAAAACAGATCTAATCTATCACAGGTCAGATCTATGAACCCTTTAAAACAAAAACAAAAAAACAAACTTTAGAACCAAAATAAGACCAATCAAGATCTACAGTAATAACATCAACAATATATATAGAAAGAGAGACGACTTACAGAACGAAGACGAAGAGAGAGGGCAGGATCCACTAAGAAGCTGTGCAGAGAAAGGAGATGAAAGAAATGAGAAAGAGAAGGGGATATTTATCTATGGGCGTATAGAATCTAGCCATGGACGTGAGTTAACGCCGTTAATGACTTAATGACGTTAGTGTCGAAGTGAGATTCAGTTTCTGGACCGTACTTTTATTTTGGGACGGTGGATTTATTATATTTCTAATTACTAGTTTCATTTATTATTTAATTTGGCAGAAATATTAAATTTTACCATTGTGTTTGTGTGCATTATTTATTTTTTTTAATTTATTTTAAATTTAGTTAATTAATTTTTGTGTTGTCTTCGATTACTCAGTAGCTAACTTCTATCGATTTTTAATATTAAATTGAGTTGAATTGGTAAGAAAAAAAAGAAAAGAAAGAAAGAAAGGAAAATGTTCATTGATACCTCTACCCATGATTATAGAACCTGACTTGAAGTAAGATTTAATTGAAACTTCTGACTAATAAAATAAATAAATTAAGATTTAGAAAAATTATAAAAACAGTGCGGCATCAAGAAAATAATAAAAAAATAATAATAAGAGGAAGGAAAAATCATATTATGCTTAAGAAGAGATAAAAGAGTAAATTAGCTAAAAAAGAGGGGATTCTCTTCTCTTCCGGCACCTGCAAATATCTTAGAGGGGATTCGAAGACTTGAATAATATCTAAATCAACTTTAGCAATTTCATGCAATTTAAACAGTATATCAAGTAGAAATCATGAATTTTGGAAAAGAAATATAGAAGAAATACAAATTAACTATGAATTGATTGAGATTAGGTTATGCTGGATATTAAATCTATTGGAATTGATGAAATAAAAAATAAAAACATGGAATCGTTAATAAGCCAAGTAGCTGGCCGGCCAAATAGGAGAAGCTAGCTAGGTTCATGATGTAGAGAGGCACAAACTGAAATTTCTCTTAGAAGTCGGTTCTACACATGTATTCACATCTAGATTCTGTTCATGGCACCAGGAAAAGTAACATGTGTGTCTGAAGACTGACAAGCTTTCAACACGGGAGATGTACATACATTCGGTCAAGGTTCTACAGCATTATTGTAATTTAAAATGGCAACCGCCAGAATCAAGCAATGGCTGGTCAATGAAGAACCATACTCTACAAAAGCCCCAATAGCATAAAACTTGAATCAAGATACATCATGTTAAAAACTGTGAATCATGAATTATTTTAGTATCTATTAGGGATAATTTGCCAATTTCTATTACAGTAACAATATCTTACAAAACCAAACAAATACATTCTTCTCTTAACAATCTCGTAGGATAAGGAATCCTTGAACACCAAACAGCCTAACAATGTCTCCCAAATTGAAGCAGAATGCTACCCAAAAAGCTGCAGAAATCAACCCATCTCTTAAGCCTGCCACGATTCAGCAGACAAAGTTACATCCAACAAAACCCGAAGACTTTTTATCATTATTTCTTACAAGACACGAGTTAGGACCCTACCTTGCTAGCAATGTTGTTGGAGAGCCAGTCTAGTCCCTCATAAAGACCTTCACCAGAAGTGGCACAGGTGCTCTGGATATACCTGAAATAAAACACAGATTGGATGGCATATATGCAACAGCAAACTATCAACATATTCAAAATGGAGATATTATCATTTACCAGTGGCGTTGACGTAGCGAATGAAGACCAAGTTTATCTGTAATTTCAGCAGCATTCATAGCATTTGGAAGATCTTGCTTGTTTGCAAACACAAGTAGCACAGCATCCCTCAATTCATCCTATTCAAAAAATAAATTTCCATTATTAAAAAGCATAAAGCCACAATAGCAAAAGTAAGAAGTGAGAGTTAAAGCTTATGACTACCTCATTCAACATCCGGTGCAGCTCATCCCTAGCTTCAACCACACGGTCACGATCATTGCTATCAACCACAAAGATGAGCCCTTGAGTGTTTTGGAAATAATGCCTCCACAGTGGTCGGATCTGCACAAAAAAGAAAAGTAGATTGAAAAACAATTCCTTTACCATCAAACAGTGACATGAAAAAAATGAATGAAATGCCCACAGTATTTAGGATAGAGCGACGGAAAATGTCTCCTGGGTGACAGACCGCACATGAGCAGGTTGTTTTTTATACACATGATTCTAATTCAATTTTAATTACATCCTTAATTGATCAGCATAAATGATAACACAGACAAATTCAATGCAAGCACAAATACATACATTGCACGAAATATAATCATACACATTAACAACATGACAGTGGATATAAGATTTATGTACACTGCACCGTTGAAAGCTTTCCTCACAAAGACAGGAGAACTGAAAGACAAGATGGGTTCATTAATGTAGCTTACGAATATGTTATGTGTTGGTGGAATTCAACTAGCCAGCACAAGACCGTCGATAAGCACATAAACAACCACAACTTCAACAACACATCATTTACAATCACAGACAACAAAACATCTGCCATATCATGGGTTGTCATTACTCATTCCAACAAGAGGATAAACCATGAAAGACAACATGAGCTCTACTCAATATAGCTTATGTATTTGTTGTGTGCAAATGACAAAGCATCTAATCAAATTCAACTTTAACTACATCCTTGATTGATCAGCATAAAAAAATACAACTGAATTCTACCTATGCACAAATACATGCATTGCACGAAATATAATCATACGCATTAACAACATGACAGTGGATATAAGATTTATGTACACTGCACCGTTGAAAGCTTTCCTCACAAAGACAGGAGAACTGAAAGAAAAGGTGAGTTAATTAATGTAGCTTACGAATATGTTATGTGCTGGTGGAATTCAACTAGCCAGCACAAGACCGTCGATAAGCACATGAACAACCAAAACTTCAACAACACATCATTTACAACCACAGACAACAAAACACTTGCTCATTCCAACAAGAGGAAAATCCATGAAAGACAAGATGGCTCTACTCAATATAGCTTATGTATTTGTTGTGCGCAAATGACAAAGCATCTAATCAAATTCAACTTTAACTACATCCTTGATTGATCAGCATAAAAAAATGAAACCAAATTCCACCTATGCACAAATACATGCATTGCACGAAATATAATCATACACATTAACAACATGACAGTGGATATAAGATTTATGATGTACACCGCACCGTTGAAAGCTTTCCTCACAAAGACAGGAGAACTGAAAGACAAGATGGGTTCATTAATGTAGCTTACGAATATGTTATGTGCTGGTGGAATTCAACTAGCCAGCACAAGACCGTCGATAAGCACATAAACAACCACAACTTCAACAACACATCATTTACAATCACAGACAACAAAACATCTGCCATATCATGGGTTGTCATTACTCATTCCAACAAGAGGATAAACCATGAAAGACAACATGAGCTCTACTCAATATAGCTTATGTATTTGTTGTGTGCAAATGACAAAGCATCTAATCAAATTCAACTTTAACTACATCCTTGATTGATCAGCATAAAAAAATACAACTGAATTCTACCTATGCACAAATACATGCATTGCACGAAATATAATCATACGCATTAACAACATGACAGTGGATATAAGATTTATGATGTACACTGCACCATTGAAAGCTTTCCTCACAAAGACAGGAGAACTGAAAGACAAGGTGGGTTCATTAATGTAGCTTACGAATATGTTATGTGCTGGTGGAATTCAACGAGCCAGCACAAGACCGTTGATAAGCACATGAACAACCAAATTCTACCTATGCACAAATACATGCATTGCACGAAATATAATCATACGCATTAACAACATGACAGTGGATATAAGATTTATGATGTACACTGCACCATTGAAAGCTTTCCTCACAAAGACAGGAGAACTGAAAGAAAAGGTGAGTTAATTAATGTAGCTTCCGAATATGTTATGTGCTGGTGGAATTCAAGGAGCCAGCACAAGACCGTCGATAAGCACATGAACAACCAAAACTTCAACAACACATCATTTACAACCACAGACAACAAAACACTTGCTCATTCCAACAAGAGGAAAATCCATGCAAGACAAGATGACTCTACTCAATATAGCTTACGTATTTATTGTGCTAATGGAAACATAGACTACAAAGGCATGTATAAGTGTGCATCTGCTTCTACTAGTAAAATTTCAGCAACACAATTGTTAGCTTCTCCTTTCATACAGAAAAAGGAAAAATGGCAACATTAACCGGTTAAATCCATGTAGCTTATGATTTGATTCTGTGCTGATGGAGCCATACCTAATCAGTACACGACAGGCACATTTTACAGCAAGAGACAAGCACAAACACTTTGATACATATAGACAACAATTTGATAAGTTTTAATAATATCAATGACACATATTGACAACAATTCAATAAATTTTCCTAATATTGTCATTATTGCCAAAGTTCTCATTACAATTTACAACATGTACATACCTTGTCCTGGCCACCAACATCCCAGACAGTGAAGCTTATGTTCTTGTATTCTACAGTCTCCACATTAAACCCTAAATAGAAACAGACAATTAACCAAACAATACAAGAGTGCACGATAAATTCAGTAATGAGATAACTATAAGGTACTGGTAAATTTCCATACCAATTGTAGGAATAGTGGTGACAATCTCTCCAAGCTTGAGCTTGTACAATATGGTAGTCTTACCAGCAGCATCAAGACCCACCATGAGAATTCTCATTTCTTTCTTGGCAAAGAGACGGCTAAAAAGCTTAGTGAATGAAAGCCCCATCTTTCCTAAATCAAACCTGCATCAAAATCCCAACAATCAATCTTAAAAAAAAGATGCCTTTAACACCTTCCATAACATTCTATTGATCACGCCAATCAATCAAAATAAACAATACATGCAAGCAAGCAAGATCTTAACCAACATTTACAAACACAAGCAAAAACTTTCCTTTTTCATACTGTTTCACAAACATGTTCAATCTATCAGAGAATGAAAAAAAAACAGTAAATCAAGAGATCCAAGCTTATATACATGATAAAGTCTTCTTTTCAAATCCTTTATTTTCATTTCAATATTTCACACCAAACCCGAATTTTATTGATTCATGAAATCCCTTAAATCAACACCAGCAAACAAAACAAGAAAGAGGGTCATATAAAAACTCAACAAACACCAAAAAACAGATCTAATCTAACATGGATCAGATCTATGTACCATTTTTAATAAAGAAAAAACAGACTATACAACCCAAACAAGAACAATCTGACCAAAGCCCAGATCAAGATCTACAACAACGATATCAAAATCAATAGGAACAGAGAGATAGCGATGGCTTACAGAGAAAGGGAGGGAAGGAGAGGGCAGGGTCTACAGAGAAGACAAGCTGCCCAGAAAGAAATGAAGGAAATAGTAAAGATACGGGCTCTATTTATCGATCTTCGCTTGATGGAAGCGATGAGTTAACGGCGTAGTGATTTAACGAGGTTAGGGTAAAAATTGATATTCAATTTGTAGACCCCACATTTTTTGGTTGATTTTCGAAGGACCGTTTATTTTCTTGTTTTTTTTTTTCAAGAGACTTTTTTAAAAAATATTTCTTATAATTTTGATATAATATATTAAAAACAAAAGAATTTCTAAAAAAATAATTAAAAATTAAAAAAAACAGAAGACATTATGTGTTGTCAAATATCACAACAAAAGAAGTATCGAAGAAAAAAATTGGAAGGTGGCCAATTAGAAGAATAAGGCACTGTTTATTTTTTATCGGTAATTTTTAAAAGTGTATTTTATTTTAAAATATATAAAATTGATATTTTATTTTAATAATTTTGACATGTAAAATTAAAAAAATTATTTTAATATACTTTTAAATAAAAAATATTTATAAGTCATTACCGAACACATAGCGAATAGCCATTTTTTTTTTATTTATGTGGGGTGTCCGGGTCAGCTTACACGCCCCACGACTAATCTCCACGGTCCACTGAACATTCTGCAAGCCCAGTAAACAGGTAAGGCACCACATAAATGACAGACATGCATAATAAAATTCGAACCCAAGTGCAGAAGAAGGGACCCTCCCACCGCTAGGCCAAAACCTCACTGACAACGAATAGCCATTCTCGTCTTCCTGGTGGTTGCCTCGCTATATATTTAATTGATTCGGTCACACGACAGCTTGGCTTAGTCAGCATTTCAGCCAACGAAAGAGTCATTAATTTGCGTAGCTTAACCAATGAGATTCTGTTGCTTTCTTAATGGGCTTTTAATCATAACTCTAAACTCTCTCAAAACTGATCTCTGCCCAAAAAAAAAAAAGATTTTATTTTATTAAAACAATTTTGACTTAATCTTCCTGTTGCTTTCTACACAACTCGGAAGTGTTTGACCCTTCAATTTTATTAAAACAAGTTTATTTTGTTTTTTTCCCCTATTTATTCCTATATTTTTAAAGTATTTTAAAAAAAATTAAATTTTTTATTTTTTATTTATTTTTAATATTTTCAAATTATTTTAATATGTTAATATCAAAAATAATTTTTTAAAATTAAAAAAATAATTAACATATATTTTAATACAAAAAATTATTTAAAAAACAACCATAACTATATTCTTAAACAAGTTTCATCTACACTAAGTTCAGATTAAATTTTATTGCATTAATCAACTTTAATTGAATTAAGATAAATTTAAATTGAATTAAATTTTTTAATTTTTTAAGTCAAATTATTATGTTGAATGAATTGTATTTTTAATATTAATACTAAAAGAATAGCAAGCCCCATTTTTTCTACTCCTTAACACTATCAACTAACCAATAATGTACAGTGCTTGAAAAAAAGAAGAAAAGGATCACATTTGAAATTGGTTCAAATCTGATGTTTTTATGGTGAATAAGAACCTGCTTCAATGTTTTAGACAAATAGCTTCAACATGAGTACAATAGAAATAGAAATTCTTTGAAAAGCAAAAATTACCAGAATCCTTGTAAAACCAGGATGATCCATGCCAGTTCATGATTTTGTGGGGTGGAAAGGCTTTGATCTAACCCTTTCTTTTCTTGGATTTGATTCATTCTGAGTTCTGCCTCGTTAGAATTGCTGTGGAACAGAATTTGTTGTCGATAGCAGAAGTAAAAATAACCATGACTAGCTCACCACCACCCTCTTGCTGTTTCTTCAGTATCCGTTAGTCTCTCTGTTTCATCTCTTGCTCGACGCAGAATTCATGTTCATGTTGTCAAAGGTTTGAGCAGTGGCATCTTGCTTGCTCAAAGCCAATCCAAAGATGATGATGATGATGATATTGGAGTCCATAACCTTACGATTGGGTCTGAAATCACTTGGAATTTCAAGGAGAATACATGGCGAACGATGAATCAACATTTATTGTTTTTGTTTGGATGGATTTTAGATTTTGGAAATTCCGTCAATGATGAAGGGCTCCGAAATGCACTTTACATAACTGACAATTGTCACAATGACATTCCTGGTGATTTTTTCTCTGCATTTTCAGGAATTTTTATGCTTTTTTGTTACTATGTTGACTGCGAAACAAGAAGACGCATGAAGCGCATACATATTGTTCCTGATAGTTACAGAAAAGAGATGGACACTGCATAATTAAGTGAGTATTGATAGTTACAGAATGAACATCATAACATTTTTCATATCAGATCTGCAATGAAAGACACTGCTATGCAAGTTGGGATGGGATCCAGTGCATAGAAGCAGCTGCTTCGACTACAGCCTCCAAAGCGCCGGGGATGGGATACAGTGCATAGAAGCAGCTGCTTTGACTACAGCCTCCAAAGCGCCGTCGATGGCTTACTCTTCACCGCATGCTGCATTGGATTTCTTTTGCCGGATCGGCAGCCAACAAGGATGATATCTCCATGTAACCTATCTAATTACTCTCTAGAGACTTTTGACAATGGCACCAACCGGAAGCATGGCGCAGCTTTTGATAGAGAAGATTTTGCGTTGTTCTTGAAATTGCAAACATGCCAACGTAAAAAGTTGGATTGCCCTTCTAATAAGGAATCTTCTCTAAGAACTACAAGCAATTCTCCCGTACACACCTCCTGGAAAATTCAATATCTGTCGCCTTCTTGAGAAGAATGAGAAACGAAGGTACTGCTGGCTAATCTTTTGCCATTTTCTGCTATGATTGTCACTGAAATTGGATGTGTTAGGAAGCCACTAGTCATATATAGCAAGCACAACAACTATTGATAATCACTTAATAGTAAATAATTGATCATTGAATTAATTAAGTTTTTTAATATAAAAAATAATATTTAGATATTGCTAATAATATATTTTATAGTAAAAATTTAAACGGTGTGGAGTTGTTCTTCTTACTCAATTAACTTAATTAATCTAAAAATAATTTGAATAATTTGGCATAATTTTTTTTTAATTGACATTATTTTTTTAATATTTAGATAATATTATATTAAATTACTCAGATTAACTTATCAAATCTATAAGCTTAGTTATAATACTATGGTAATTTTATAAAAAAATATATTAAAATAAATTATAAAAATATAATTTCTAATCAACCTAATATTAAAAAATAAAATTAAAAAATTAATTAAAAAATAGTAAAAAATAACTTAAATTAACTCAGATTAACCTATTAAATCCACAAACTATAGCACGAAATTATGATGACCATGTAAAAAAATAAATAAAAATAAATTATAAAACTTAATTCTTACTGAATTTAATATTAAAAAATAAAATTTAAAAAAAAAAGAAAAAACAAAAGCAAAAATAAATAAATCAAAATACCATTCCGTGAAACAATGTTTCGTGAGAAGATAAAAGATGAATTCACCTTTTATTATCTTTTATTTAATATGTGTAAAACTTACAAAAACCATTATTATTTCTTGTTCATTTTATTTTATTTTCGGGCAGCTTTTGTTCTGGTCCGTTGGCTAAGGACAGGTTACATTCCATTAATCATGCCCCCAACACTCTTTATATTAAACCCTTATTATTATTATTATTTTATCATTCTACACTTAATGAAAATTAAATTCATTTCTCAAATAATTTCATTAAGTATATTTCTTACATTTAAAAACTTCTTATAAAAATTAACTACAATATTTTAAAACCTGAATAAATTTAACAAATTAATTGGAGATTCAACTAAATCATAATTTACACTAATTTGAGTTGAAAAATACAAAATTAAAACACTTAATTGATCTTGTTTAAAATCAAGGTTGAGTGGATGATTTAATGGATTGTAGTTTGATCTGTTTTTTTATTAAAATAATATTATTTTAATTTTTTAAATTTATTTGGATTAATATGTATCCTGTCCTGAGTTGATTTCTAGGTGGTGTCTCAAAACTATTTTTAACTACAAAATTAAAATTTTTAAAATTAAGAAAAAATTAACCATAAAAACTACTTTTAAATCATTTCCAGGCCAACTAAGAAACCATTTCCGCGTAAATTTTACTTTACTTTCCTACGACAGGTCACTCAGACACCCCTTGTCATCTTTAGTTACACTACACGAGTAACTAACGCTTTATCCCATTTTTTCCCACTGTTTTCGGCTTCCGGGCACCATCAAAATCTAAACTTCAACAGTTTCTGCCATCTGGGTTCTTTAGTTTTTTGTTTATCAATGCGGTTCCGTTTGATTCCATATAGAAGTTATTTTTCAAGCTCTGCTGCAATAACCCAATGTCAAATTTCGTATTTTGCACGTCTTGGCCAAATAGACAGAGCTCGAAATATATTTGATGATTTACAAAGCAAAACAGTTACTTCTTGGAATGCAATTGTGGCTGGTTACTTTCATAACAAACGGCCAGGTGAAGCCCAGAAACTGTTTGATAAAATGCCTGAGAGAAATACGATTTCTTGGAACGGATTGGTTTCCGGGTACGTTAAGAATGGAATGATTTCTGAAGCGCGAAAAGTGTTTGATAAAATGCCTGAGAGGAATGTGGTTTCATGGACCGCGATGGTTAGAGGGTATGTGCAAGAGGGATTGATAGATGAGGCTGAATTATTGTTTTGGAGAATGCCGGAAAAAAATGTCGTTTCTTGGACTGTGATGTTGGGCGGTTTGATTGAAGATGGACGTGTTGATGAGGCTAGACGGCTTTTTGATATGATTCCAGTGAAGGATGTTGTTGCTAGCACTAATATGATTGGTGGATTGTGTTCGGAAGGAAGGTTGAGTGAGGCAAGAGAAATTTTTGACGAGATGCCTCGAAGGAATGTAGTTGCTTGGACTAGTATGATTAGTGGGTATGCAATGAATAATAAGGTGGATGTGGCTAGGAAGTTGTTTGAAGTAATGCCGGATAAGAATGAGGTGACATGGACAGCAATGTTGAAGGGGTATACGAGGAGTGGTAGGATTAATGAGGCTGCTGAACTTTTTAAGGCAATGCCTGTTAA